GAAAGAGGAAACATAAAATACTTCTCGACGGCGTTCATTGCAAGTCTAGCAGAATACGAATCTTCATTTAGACTGAAGGAGGAATCCGATGAGCTATGTATCTCTGCTTCACCACTTTTAAACAGGCAAATCTCGTGCAGTTTTCTTTCCATCAACTTAAAAGTAAACCGTATTTTCAATGCTTGCTAAACATTGTTTTTAGAGCTCAATAAATCACCCTGGTGTGCCTCTTAATGATTTTAACAATGTTACTCTTTATGGACAGACAGAAAAAAGCTGCACATGCTGTCATCTGCCTTGCTAGCGAAAACACGTTGCTTTTCCGTCTTTAAATTTAGGTGCACATTTATAATATTATATAAGCATATTATTTATTTATACTGGAAGAAATCCGATGAGCTATAAAGCTCTTTTTCACACATGTCCAGTAGAGGCACGGGGCAAGAACATTACAACAAACAGTACAAAACATGATAGTAGTGCAAAGTACAATAAAGGTAAACAAATCACACAAACACATTAAACTAAAACATCCTTATCCTACCAGGCAAAGCCCACTGAGGCATTCACTTATATTTACTTTTCACTTGTTAGCTGCAAGGATTTCGCACAATAAGCTACGGCGACAAAACTGCCGCGCAATACATGCAGCAGGAAGGCAGAAAAGGTAGGAAGGAAGCGAAGAATGTACGCAAGGGAAGAAGAAGATTAGGATACAGTAGGATCCTGGGCCGTGTTGTGGCTCTGCGAGTTCTGCCCTCCCCCCACATCTCGCGAGCGAGAAAACTCGGCAACTGCATCTTTGCGCTTAGTTTTTTTTCGCGCAATCAACACCCGCCGTTTGCCCTCTGTAGCCTAATGTCCCACAGGGGATGAAGAGGAGTTAGTGAAAAGGTTGCCCTCTACTTGTGGCGAACGGTCTCACTGGCCAGAGCGCTTTCTCCCGAGGACGTACAGTGGCCGTAAGTATTTTACACGAGTGCAGCCCAGTAAATTTAAAAGCAATAAATTAAGTTCAGCGTGTCTTGCGGTCGCTGCCAAGCCGGCAGAGAAACGATTTTACAGTTTGTGTGTGTGTCAGCGGTGTAAGTGCTGGCCACTGGCCCACAAAGCAATCGACTACGAAATCCAATTACATTCTTCAACTATTTAGGCTGCATTTAATTACAAAGTTCAGTTTAGTCTGCATACTTTTTCCCACTTTTTCCTACTGGTGTACCTTATAAATATATATGTGCACAAAACATAACTCCACATATACAACCATAATACAGAGCTGTGATTTGCACCCTACGATATAAAGTCAGCAACCCGAGTTCGATTCGCAGCCACGGCCAATATCAGTGATGAATGACACCTCAAACTGGTTCTGACCACCCTTCCACCCTTCGCAAATCCACACACTGACCAGCATGGTGAGGCCCTCCTCCAGAAGTAGATTGATAAACAGTTAACTATTTGACACGAGTTCTCAAAAAAACTACATTATATAAAAAAATAAACTGCATGCAGTTCTCAAAAATAGTTACATTTTTATTTTCTGTGGCTGTAAGAATCCCTTAAAAACTATTACAATAAACTCGTACTAAACAAACCCGCAAAGTAAACGGAGAGGATTCACATTTTACCCTTCTTTTCTTTATGTGAATTCCTGAGCCACCTCTGTGAATCTCATATGCTGCAAGCAATGGAGTGCGCACATGGATCAAACATGCACACACATTCTACTGCTACTAAAACCAAATATCCAAGCCTATTTATCCTCTACTCTCGCTCAGCACGCATCACATCATGGCGGTGCAGTATCTGTGGCTCCCGTACCAAGCAACGTTTTCACGTTTTCGAAATATGAAAGCCACTTCCTTCGCAGCGTTAATTTGAGCCGGCAGACCTATGAGGGGAATGTTAATTGTGGAATCCTGCTTTATGGATGTGGGGCTTGTGGCATTCGATAAAAGGAAACAGAAAGAGAAGATCGGGAAAAAGATACATATTTGCCGATGGAAGTCAAGACTCAACAATGATGATCGATCAATGAACGCCATTCATAGCATCGATGGGAAAACGTGAATTCAATCCACATGCAGTGCTGCCAATAGTATCAGGTGACGCAAGTGGGGAACGCAACTAAAGCACAGTGCACGTTGCTCAAGCCGAGTGCGTTGCTTCAAGAAAGCAGATGGGGTCTCAGCAGGTTGGCCTAAACCAAGGGTATGGGTGATTGATGATGAAGATTAGAGCACCCAGCAGCTGGACGACTCTCACTGTATTTAGCGCCTAACGGCGGTCGGTGATCTACTCCTTCTCGACCAGTAGACCACATGCCCCGGCAGATGGTACACACCATAGGTGAGCCGATTCATTCGGTAAAATCCAACATAGCACACTTGGCCGAGACAACGTTGGTTGCTCAAATGGATGGTGCGGACAATGACCAAAATTAAATAAAAATCCCAATCCAAAAAGTCCATTCCATACACCGAAAATTTCAACCCGTTTTATTTGGTAACAGTTGTCACTGTTGTAGTGTGATGACACCTTTGCATGTCAACATCAGAGCCATCAACTAAAAATACTTGTGGATGGCGGTTGTGTGCACGCACTCCAGGAGATTGTATTGATTGCTCTTATTCTTATTATAATGACTACGTTTGTTTACCCAAGAAAGCCTCACCGAGTCTCAACACTGTTCAAAAGGGTCCTGTAAAGATATTGCAGTAGGGATATGTTGCTACTGAATCTATAATCCAAAGCGAGTAATTTGCAGGTAATTTTCAGCATTGTTAAAACAAATTTAGCTATAGGAGGAAATTTTAGAGCCTAGGAGGAAACCCATGCAGAGCAGGGAGATAGAGAACATACAAAGTCCACTCAAAGTCACCCGAGTCAGGAATCGAACCCAGGGACTCCTTGCAGCGAGGGACGAGCGTTACCATTGGAACACCCTGCCCTCCCATGATCAATGCCTCATATACAGCCCTTTGTGACTCAAAATCTCATTATAAACAGTGTAAATACACACGCACGCCACACACACAAACAGCACTACCTCCGTAGCAGCCTGACCCTCTGAAATGGAAACGCTGAGGTTACACTGCGCATCTCTCGAGGGTCACCCTGTAATTTCAGACCCCTCCATTACTGGGCCAGCAGCCACTGGCCCCTAACGACCCCCCAAGAGAGAAAGAGCCATCAGTGGGTATGTGTGCATGTGCCTCGTCGCGTCACCCTACGGGCTACACCCAGAGCAGGGTCCATTGAATCCTAATTGACGTGCGGGAGAGAGGGGGGGCCTGGCCTGATGGCTAATGGGCGCAGAGCAGATGCCCCCCTCCTATGTTACCACCAATATCAATTTACACGTGCCCCCTTCAAGTGCTCGCATACACAACGGCATATTGTACAGTGTGCTTCGCTGCGTTAGAAGCCAACGGCAAACAGAGTTAACAAAAAAATATTACCGTGGATTTGTGATCCTGGATCATACCATGGTCGTTTGTTACGTGCAAAGGACACGACTTCAATTAATCCATTTCTCTTGATCACCTTTTGTTTTCAATCACATTTTCTAGCATGTCCCAGATAAACAGGACAACAGCTGTTAATGATGGGAACCTGACGATAATGGTTTGTAACCCTGTGCCGCTAATTATATATGCATAGCAAAAATCCTCCGTATTGTATTGCATATGTCGATATCACTGTATCATGTTACGCGTCTGATCACACCAATTCCGAGCTTCCTTAAGGTTATTAAAACATCCATTGATGTGGAGATGGAGGAAGACAGATGGTTACGGTTGGAGTGAGGAGGAAAGATAGGGGATGGAGAATAATTATGGGAAGAAAACGGGTCGGCCCGCTTGGAGAACTGTGTAGCACCGAGACGGCATGGCACAGATTGGCAGCATTGCATTTTTAATTGCCGGCTCCAACTGGGTCACGTCACGCCAAGGGAGGCAGCTCCGTTTTGCCTCTGTACAACATTCTGAGGCCTTCAAGTTCGCTGAAACAGAAAGGAAACAAGCTTTATCTGCTCCGAGTGCCATTTGGTGTCAAATGAGATTTCTGAAAATAATTTTGCATGGGAATGTGCTCTAAAAGCAGTTGTTTTTGCTGTTTATCTTGCATTGCCTTTATAGATCTATATTGTTCATACATATCAATATGTTTTCTTTGTGTACGAGTTATTAGCACACAAACTGGTGGATTTTAAAGTGCTTCAACACTCAGTGGTGCAGTATTTGCTTAAAATTGCTTCATTCACTCCATCCAGCTCTTGTAAATAAAATAATCAATATGGATTACTTGTATTAAACGTATTGGTTTAAAATTTAGGCGACTTACATATGATAAGCTGCTTGTGAGGAAATAGTATTTGCTTTGCACAATGCCTAAAAAAGGACGTCACAAAGCGAGTACACATTTCCAATTCAAAGCCTTAAGTGTGCCCTGCCAGCTCACAAGCCTCAAGCACTGTTCCTGCGACTGACTCTTCAGTGCTGAATTATTGCATGTCGTTAAGTCATAAGTGGAGCTTGCGTGCAGCCAACACAAAAGCCCTCGAATGTAACTATTGTGTGCCAATGCGAACAGTGTGGCAGCAGCGGCATCGGGCGTGTTACGCACGTTAGCCAGCATTGACGCCCGTGACAATAACACAATCAAGTACACTCAACACATCCGTCAATAATGCTGCCCTGAAAGTAAGAAAATATAGCCCCTTCCGTAATAAATGTGTTGGATTTGGGCCATTACACCGGGTGACAGGGTGATTCATACAGGCGGCAGAGCCACCACCATCCTTACTCGTCAACTTAACGGAGACAGCTGCGAGTGATGACACGAGAACTAGGTGTCGATCCTGCCAGTCTCATAAAACTAAAACTGGTGGCCCAAACAAAGAACGTCTACGAAACACGGTGCTGTCAGTTCATGCATGCACGAAAATAGAACCCTGGGAGGCACCAAACAACACGCAGGAGGCAGGTAGGACTCACCCTCCATGCCAATGAGGAGGAGGTTTGAGGTGAGTGGGCCCCAGTTCCTCTTGGCCTGCTGACGGTTGATCCAGTTCCAGTTGAAATTCAGGAAGTCCACCACGATCTTCTTTCCAACCGTGTCGTTTAGTGTCTGCTGCAGGTACAACCTGAACATGCCAGCACCGTGGTCAGTGAATGCTTTTACAGGAGCGCAAAGGCTTCCTTGTGACCGAGAGGCATGCGCACTCTCCTAAGAGTGTGCAAGTAAACGTGTCGTTGCGACGGTGGCCACGCATCAATGTTTGTGGGTTTTTTTTATTGACCGATATCTTTGGCACAATTATCTATTGTATCTTTTGTTCTCGACAAACATGAATGACATCTGCATTGAATTTGAGCTTAAATTGGCAAGCCAAGTTCGTGGCATGCCGCTCCGCTGGTGAAGGCGCCGTGACTAATGTGAGTTTCAGAACAGCGGGGTCGAGGGTCGCCCTGCCTCCTGCCCTGCAGATTTGTACCTCCCCTCAAAAGGTGGTGTTAATTTAATACAATAAAATACCACATTCTCGCCAGTTTGGCTTTAGCATTTTCACGTAACAAGTGTTTTCGAGTGGACAACAGCCATCATTCCCATGCTCCACCAACAACCTATTTAAAGAGACAGAAACAAATAATAAAATAACTAAGTAAATTTAAGTAATGGAGTAAATGTCAGTTGCTAAAATAAGACGGTTTTTGCATGCAATATTTAACAGAAAACAGAAGAGCAACATTCCTTTCAATAATCTTCACCGCAGTTTTGGAAATGCCACACATGTCATGTTTTTTTCCTCCTGGGTCTATTGATGTTTTCAGCTGTGGATAAGCTATTAAGTGCCTATGCCTGTTGCAGCCAAGTGTGCGTGTGACTTTAACTCAATCTGACAGCCACATCTGAACTTTAGCCTTTGATTTTTGGTAACAAGCATCAAACCCATTGCCAGCCACCCCAGGCACATGATGAACTCAACAGTAGTTCAACCTCTGGCAGTGTGATGTAAACTAAGAGACATTTTATGCACGGATAAACCAAATAGTCCATACGTGTATATCAATTATAAGCGTTAAGTGACATTGTGACTTAAAATGCAATTCAACCGAGCTCATTAATAGCTATAACACTCATGCAACACGCATGTTAAGTACGTCGAAGATAATCTGTTGCTAAAACCTACTGCCCTAAAGGAAATTCTAAACAGTTTAGGCAGTTGGCAGAGGCATACATGAGAATAACCTTTCATTTACTCATTCAAACACATTCATTTAAAAAATACCTTCAGCATAAATTATCTACAATATACAGTGTACATTTTCAGAAAATATATAGCTGTGTCTAGGCGGTCTATTGACCACACTTCATCACGCTTGTCAGTGCAGATTAGTGAAGGCGGGAAGCATAAACGCGGGAGCGTAGAAGTACAGTACAATACAGGTATCCCTCGACTTACGAACGTTCGGTTTACTAAATTTCGTGCATACGGAATTTACAAATAATGGACACTTTTAGATGCACGAAATCGAATTTCCACGTGAACGAAATTTCACAACGGCACGCGCCGTGAGATCATAAAAGAAGAAGCACCCGGGAGGCTGCGTTGTCATCGATCCGTGAATGTCGCGCCATTCCTGCAGTGCAACAGTAATGCCTCCACGTCTCGAGTCATCCCAACATGCAGAACTGTTGGTGAGTTCCCTGGAAAATAATAATTGTTGTTGTTGTTTTAAATTAAGTATTATTCAATCACTATGGGGACCTCATTTGCCAGTAAAAATATGATAATTGGTTCTTTACCCTTCTATCTGGCAACAAAACTGACACCTTTTTGCAAGGAGTCATGTTTGCATAGACCGCAATACCTGCAGTCATAAATACAAACAAAAGACATAACTCTGATAATGTGCACTCTGATAATGTGCACAGGACAGTGCACATTATCAGAGTTATGTCTTTTGTTTGTATTTATGACTGCAGGTATTGCGGTCTATGCAAACATGACTCCTTGCAAAAAGGTGTCAGTTTTCGATTTAAAGCTTTCGTGACTGCAGGGATTCATCTTCTTGGTTCTTTCGGTAAAGTCACGTAGAAGGGAAGTAATAAAATAATAAAAATAAAACATAATAAAACAATTCTCACGACGTTTCAGCCACAACGCAAGTAGCCGTCCTCAGGTGAAAACCAGGTCCGTCGAGGCGACAGAGTCTGAATGAAACAGCACACGAGCTTGGAGCATATATATAAGCTGGGCGCATTGACAAAGGAATTTGCATATCAAAAGGAATTTAGCATATTTATGGGAAATGCAAGAATGTGATTAGTCCTGCATATGCATGTGCATTATGCAGGATTAACAGCATCAAAGGGAGCTGCAGTTACTGCTGCTGCTGAAATTACTGCTGCTGCTGCAGTTTCTGCTGCTGCTGCTGCAGTTGCTGCTGCTGCTGCACTTGCTGCTGCTGCACTTGCTGCTGCTGCTGCACTTGCTGCTGCTGCTGCACTTGCTGCTGCTGCTGCAGTTGCTGCCTTATCCATTTTAATATAACACTATGTATTATTCTACCCACCCTAATGTGTATCACACTGCTATATGTTTACTATACAATTACGACACCATACATTACTCTGCACACTGCACCATGCCAGTGAGTGGAACGCGGTCTGAAAGTCACCGTAAACGTGAACACGGATCTTAACTGATTGTGTTCACGTTTACGGTGACTTTCAGACCGCGTTCCACTCACTGGCATGGTGCAGTGTGCAGAGTAATGTATGGTGTCGTAATTGTATAGTAAACATATAGCAGTGTGATACACATTAGGGTGGGTAGAATAATACATAGTGTTATATTAAAATGGATAAGGCAGCAACTGCAGCAGCAGCAGCAAGTGCAGCAGCAGCAGCAAGTGCAGCAGCAGCAGCAAGTGCAGCAGCAGCAAGTGCAGCAGCAGCAGCAACTGCAGCAGCAGAAACTGCAGCAGCAGCAGTAATTTCAGCAGCAGCAGTAACTGCAGCTCCCTTTGATGCTGTTAATCCTGCATAATGCACATGCATATGCAGGACTAATCACATTCTTGCATTTCCCATAAATATGCTAAATTCCTTTTGATATGCAAATTCCTTTGTCAATGCGCCCAGCTTATATATATGCTCCAAGCTCGTGTGCTGTTTCATTCAGACTCTGTCGCCTCGACGGACCTGGTTTTCACCTGAGGACGGCTGCTTGCGTTGTGGCCGAAACGTCGTGAGAATTGTTTTATTATGTTTTATTTTTATTATTTTATTACTTCCCTTCTACGTGACTTTACCGAAAGAACCAAGAAGAGGTGTCAGTTTTGTTGCCAGATAGAAGGGTAAAGAACCAATTATCATATTATTCAATCGTTTTCATATTTACGTACTTTGTTATGTTTGTGTTGTAAAAAGTTACGTAATTGTATATATTTTTTGGTATTAAATTAATGGGAAAAGCCACTCCGATGTACTCATCTCTTTCTAAATCGAGGGATACCTGTACACATCTCATCAGGATAAAAAAAAACTACAGCCGATTACATTGTAATAGGAATGATCTGCTTATGAAATCTTAATTATTATATTTCTGTCCTTAAAGAGGGTTTTTGGTAGTGTGAAGACAACTCACCTCGACCTACTGTCCCTGCCCACCCCTACAAGTGCACACCCCCCCCCACTTCCAAAACCACCCAAATAAACCCAAACTCCCCCCCCCCACGGGAGAAGGGGCGGGGCCTAAACACACAAAGGGGCGTGGCCTAAAGAGTAATGGGCGGGGTTTAACGTATAAATGGGAGTGCGAGTCATAAAGAGGGAGTGCGAGTTATCAAGAGGGACCGTTCCCAGAGAGGAATGGGCAGGGCCTAAGGAGTAAGGTGGGTGATGCTTAAAGAGGTAGGAGGTGGAGGGTAAAAAATAAAGGCGCGGAGATGAAGAACTAAACTGTTTATTTTACCAGGTAAGGCCCACTGAGCTAAAGAGCTCTTTTTCGTAAGCGAAATGGCCATCACAAATGGTTCCACGTGGAAATGTATAGCAGCCAAATACACTAAATGCATGTTTCGATGTGGAGGGGAGAACACGCAAACTTCAAACATACATCAAGCGTCAGGGTCAGGATTGAACCCACGTCCTCCTGTATACCAGGCGAGGAAGTTAACACCTTACCACCGTGGCGCACAAGGCGTGGCCAAAAGCATATAAGGAGTCTGGCCTGAAAGAGGCAGGAGACAGGGACTGACGTGCAAGAAGCGTGGGGGTCTAAGGAGTAATGGGGTGGGGCATAAAGAGGAAGAAGGTGGGGCCTAATGGAGGTTAAAATTCCCGGGTGATTTAAAGTCATATAAAAGCATAGAGGAATCAAGTACATGTAGCAAGACATTCTATTGGTCCTGCAGATGTGTCCACAGGCCCAACTAGTTATAGTTCAATGACCAAATAGTAATTAGGATGCAGAAATAGATGTTTAAAGTGCATTTAGTTTGTTCAGTTTAATATAGATGCCATGGGGGGGGGGGGTGGTTGCATGTAAAAAATAATCTATTGATATGCGTTGTGCACCTCTCCTCTGAACTCTCTCAAATGCAGACAACAGACACTTCTCCTCCGAGCTGCTTCTTCGCACCTGGGACCTTTTGCCCTGCCTGAAACATAATGCGTAATTTGACAATACCAGTGCATGCTGTGTTCTTACCAAGTTCGTATGGTTTATTAATATCCTTTATTTGGTGATGCTGCATTTGGCAAGTGTGCGTAATGTGCATAAGCACAATTCATTTTTTAAAAATGTACGCTCGTGAATGGGGGACTTTTGAGGAGGGGGTGGGGGGGTTTAGGAACATTGCAAAGCCCCAAGTTCAAGCCGTTGTATACAGAATCATATTTATTTATACTGGAGGAATCCGATGCGCTATAAAGCTCTTTTTGACAGATGTTCAGTAAGTGGCGGGTAAGAACGTGACACCAACAAACAAGACACAAACACGATATACCTGTCCCTGCCACCGCTCGCTCGGACCGCCTCCAGCGTCTGGAGGAATTCGGGGAACTTCAGGTTCTGCCGCGTGGCTGGTGGCACGAAGGTGGGAAAGTTTCCCAGCTTCTTGTCGTCGTAGTAGAGGAAGCGGTGCGTAGGCGAGGCGTACACCGAGAAGTCGCCCGTTCCCAGGTGATCGCACAGGTACGGGAGGTCCCACTTGAGTGCCGAGGCCACCAGGCCCGTGCCTGTCAGCACCACTGGCTCCTGAGCGACAGTAGCAGCAGAGGCAGCAGAGTGAGACATCACCATGATTGGTAATGTCCAATGTTGTCCTTCCCCACCGCACCTCCCATTTCACGGTTGGCTATGTACGGTGCGAAAGAAGTTCAACATACAAACATACTACGTGTATTCTATGTTGAGTTTCTCATGTTGATCCATGTCCATTACTCTCCTTTCCTGCATACTGTGCCACGGCTCTCCCTTTGCCCACCACTATTGTGCAAAAGAAGTTCATCATATGTACAATATGCTGCTGAATGAAGGTCTCCCCAAGTCTTCGCTAGCTGTCGCAGTCCCGCAATATAATGATCCTCCGAGCAACCGCACACCGGCTGATCGCTCCATCTACGTCGATGGATGCCCAGTTTGTTTTTTGCTTCATCGATAATCACGTGCAAAAAGATAACGGATCATTAGTTTGCTGCACATATCGACACGTCTAATAATGAAAATAAAAACTGCAGCCCTGTTTGTGTACCTTAAGTGTCAATTGGAACTTGCCCCAGTGACTGATGGGTCCTAAAACTGGTGCCTCATCATGGCTACCGCTTACCTATCCACGTCCACGAGGGCCGTGCAGTTCGAACGGTCCGGCGTGCAAAACAATTTAATCGTTACTCAAATTCAAGTGAATGTAATTATTTATTCCATGGCTTTTGAATAGATATTCAATTCTAAAATGTTTTGTGTAAAAGCTGATCATCGATTAAAGAACCTCGTAGGGAGTGGGTGAGGATGCACTTCCACTTTCATCGCTTTGACAAATACTCGTGACAAAGTTACGGCGACAAATCAGAAGCTGGACAAAATGTCTGGAACATGATAAAACCTGAGGAGAACAATGCAGAATGTTGCAAATAGATGTCATTACATGCAATAGACAGCCTTGAATACGCACTGTAATCTAAATTGATAGTGCTGTTATATAAAACAGCACGGTACAGTGGATACAAGCAAGTGACTGGATACATTAACAACCCAATACATCTAAAACAACACTCACTTCTAACACCAACGAAGCAGAACACAAACTCGCCTCTCTCGTGTATTGAACAGTTCTAAGGCAAGCCAACATTACAATTAAGATGATTGCAAAGCTATACAACAAAAACACCAGTCATTTGTCTGAATAACTGTAATGAGTCAACCCATGTGGTTGAGGCTGCCCATCAGAATAAGTGGCAAAACGATTAGGCAATTGCCTATTTAATTTGAACTGGTGGTCACTTCACAGCCCAGGACAAAGGAATGGGGCAAACTCACATTATGGAAGCCAATATAAGCGTCTACAACTTTAATATCATCATCAACATGTTTCCTTAACTACTAGCAACACTGCAAGTATGACAATATACAGTGGTACCCCGGAGATCGAACTTAATTCGTTCCAGAAGGCCATTCGAACACCGATTTGTTGAAACACCGAATTAATTTTCCCCATAAGAATTAATGTAAATGACATAAATAAATGGAATAAGTGAATAAATATGTGGAATAAATGAACATTGAACTTCACTTCACCTGTAGTAAGGAGAGTTGATGGCTTGAGTGGAAGGTGGTGAGGAGGAGGAGGTGGTAAAACCTTTGTCTGGGCAAGCGTCATGCACGCTGACCATACGCGTCCCAGCCGTACAGGTTCTTTCAACTCGCGATTGGCCGTTCGACCTCCGAATTTCATTCGGTTTCCAGGGCAAAAAATGTTCGGAAATATCGTTCGAACACCGATTTGTTCGAGTTCTGGTGCGTTCGATCTCCGAGGTTCTACTGTACACATCACCGGCAATGTATCACGACCACCATTGACATGTCCTGAATGGATCTAGAATGCGTGTGGTTTTTGAGGGATGTAATGTTTATTACTATAACATACCCTCAGGCTAAACTCTCCTGATCAAAACCATTATCACCAAATCGCACGAGTGTTTCACGCAGCGTTCATTAGGCCGGTATTTACAGAACTTTTCTTGGCACGCACACCGCAGCGGCGGTGCCAACATTCGCAGACCAGACAAAATTTCCACGCACGCAGGTAGCAGCACAATGGCATCCAAAATTTGGGCTGGAAAGGGTATCACACCAAGGGCACGGTGCGGAGTGATCGTTGCGCTGGTACGAGAATCGTCATCGGGCTATGGCAGTGCTTTCAGACTTCATGCCAAGTGGCAGCTCCCTCCTCAACCCCATTTCCTTCCAATTATTGATTTGGCCCCGCCATTATTTTGTTAACCCCCCCCCCCCCCCACTGCACTCTCTCCAATCTTCTTGATTGCTTGATCTTTCAACAATCACATACTATATAGACTCAAGTGAAGCGTGTACCCTTTTTTATATTCCAGTGTGTGTCTCAATTCAATTATTTTAATTACTGGAAAATAAAATCTCGTCTGTGCTAAAAATACATGACCACAGGACCATCTGGTGTCCCTAAAGAAGTCATATCGTCTCACACCCTGTGGGAGACACAATCCAGTTCTGTAACCACAGCTATAGGTGCACCATAAACCGTAAGGTAGGTGACACGGGAGGTATTTAAAAAAAAAACTAGCAGGGTGTGGTCAAATAAATAGTGTCTAAAACCTTGCTTATTTCACATAGACGCTGTCCAAATGTTATCTCTAAAATAGTGATTTACAATCATCCACCAGTGTCTCCCATACCTCGTAAGATGCTACAAATGTCATGATCTGTCATTTTAATTAAATATCATGAGTGGAGCACACCGCACTATGAACCCAGCATTCCGAGTTCAGTCCCCAGCCATTAACCACAGCAGTAGGAAGTGAAATATCTGAACCGGTACTGGGCACCCACCCCCTTACCAACCAACACGGATTCCAGTGAAATATGATCAATACTCCGAATTCCGCTGACACTGCACAGGAAGGCATTGATTTATTTAGCAATTGGGTTACCACTGCAGTTTCCATCCATTCAATACTGTGATGACTCTTTTTACAATACCTGTAAAAGTGGCACATCTGTAAGCGATGTTAATGCACTACATTAACTTGACCTTGAATATTTCCTCACCAGATTTTAGGACCTTAATGTGGGTTACTTAGCCGAAGCACACTAACCTTGCTCTACATTCAACTGCTGATAACTGACAAATGAACGTGGCCACTAGGACCAGTGTCCCACCACGAGCTACTCAGAATGTAAGGCGAGATCTGTATTAGACTAAAAATAAATAGCCGCACGGTGAGTAAAATACAGCATAACTGCCCACAAGCACATTGGCTTCGCAAAGTCCACGATCCCACGCACGTTTTACTGACAATGTGGGCACGGTCTGTTACTGCAAGTATGCTGCATCGTTATGCCACACAGAGAATGCACACATACTCTGCAGTACAATCACAACGGATAACACGATTGGTCAACTGAAAACTTAACCCTGCAAAAGTGCACACGGCCACTTTCATGCCGTCCTCCGCTGCCTCCCCAGATGGAAAGGACAGAGGCCTCCATACAGTTGAAACTTCACACCATTCACCCGCACAAAAAAGCGCTTCGACCGAGTCTGGCACTTGATCGGGTGTGACTCTAAAGCCTTGGGAGTCCAGTTAAGATCATAATAAGTTTTTAATCACGTTACATGTTGCCTGTGATGCTGTGCTCCACCATGGTCAAACGTAATGCAGGCTCTGTACCAGTGACACGAACATGAGTGTTCTAACTGCTGCCCCCTTTTCGTTTAATGCGGACCTGTCTATGTAGATTTTTCCTGGGTGCCAATGTTTACAAAGTGCCAGGGCCTAACACAATTAGTACACCAGGTCACAAACATGAAAACACACGCCAAAACTTTCAGCCGAAACAATATTAATTTCAATAACGCCTTCAACACAAGACATAATTAATACCCAATTTTTTACATTTAAAAGGTTAACACAAAACGTGGCCGTTAATCTTTATACTGCACGCCTCAACTGTAATGAGATTTAAATTGCTCCATATATTACTCTTCTCCTCCAGTTCAACATTCATAACATATATCAAATCCTGGTTGGCATGTTAGCGTTATGGGGGTTGGTATGCAGGTAACCACATAGATGCATTAATATTGCACTATTAATGTAGCGATTTTCCTGTGGTTGTCTATATTTAGAAAATTTTCCTTTTATTGGCATTGCATTTATGTTCATTCTACAAATACACTCCATAAATTATAGATTATAATTCTTGTATATGCATCATTCTGGGTTTGCGGTGTGTGTCAATAGCCACCCTGTAAAACAAACCCATGTAAATGAGAAGTTCCTTATCTTATTTAATACGTGCATTCAAATAATGCCAGTTGAAATTGAGGTGAAGAACCCCAAAAAAAGATTTAGAGCTGATTCTCGATTGTCTGGGTGCTGATGCATGGCCGTTCAGCGGTGGGGTGGTTTGTCTGGAACCCAAATTAATATATTTGGTTACTTTTCCATAGAAGTCACAACTTCATAATAAACTGTCCATTCTGTATAACGTCACTTGCGTCTGCATTGGACATATGTCCTTGTCTCTACGTTAATGACCCTACATCCATTGATGCTTTTTTTACTTCATTTTACTAAGATTTTTTTTTATAGTTTGTCCGAGTCGAATGCCATTGCAGGTGTAGGGATTATTACGGGAGAAACGGCGGACAACAAACACAGGGGTGTTGGCACTCACATACACGGGTGGTCACACCGACGTCCGCATCCGTTATTGCCCACGCCCCCAGCCCTCGGAGGTGATCCCTATAAAAGGTGGAGACCCAAAGAGCTCGAGGCAGTTCGACACAAAGCTGACCAGTGAAGATCCAAGACTCGGGAGATTAGGCCCTGGGACTCCCCGGTCTCGCCGTCCTTATAAGGGCCGAGCCGGGTAAGCCAGCGGCGCGGCCCAAAAGCTTCCAGACCGCTGCCCTTATCAGGGCAAGGCTGGTTAGCTGGTGCCGAGATCTGTGCTTGCCAGGGCCAGATCAGTCAGCCTCCCGTAGCCCATTAGAG